AGGTTAACCTACTTTTAACTAAAAGAATTTGTAAGATAAAGCTTAAGAATATATTCAATTTTAAGGAAATATATTTCATATTAGAAAATAATAAGAATAATAAGATTATTAAAGTTATAATAAAAAATAGAATATATATTATTTTATATATAAAACTAAAATACAAGGATTCTATATTCTTTATATTCTTTATAAAAATAATTAATGGAATAAAAAAAAAATTAAAAAATTGATTATAACGAAAAAGGAAAGATATCTTTTTTAATATAAACAATTCAATCATCTTGGCCCTGATAAGATCAGAAATCTATACAAAATCATTACACTTTAAAGATTAATCAAAATTTCTTTAATTCTGAATATTTATAAAATATATATTTTTATAAAGATAATTAACAGGATTCCAAGCTAATTAAATATACAGAAATCTAAAAAACTAGAATTAATTTATTTTAATATTACTAACCCTTTTTTAAAGATTATTTAAAAACATAAATACTTTTTCCTTATTATTAATAGCACTATAAGAATAAATTAGATTATCTTATTAAAATAGAAAAGTAATATAATACCTTTATTGAAAATCTAGAAATAGAAAATTGAATTTGCTACAAGAATAGCTATAATTACTATTAGAACCAATAATACACCAGAGTTTTTTCAAATTATTCGGAAATAAAAGATTAGTATATAATTAAAGATTACAATAATTATATTATTTTATTAAAATAGTTTAGCTGAATACAATATATATACTACAGAAACTAATATAAAAATAATATTAAAAAAAGCTTATTTACTATTAAAATTTTGGAATAAAACTATTAAACATAATATATACATTCGAAACTATACTAATATTAATTCAAATACAAATAGAATCGATTGAAGTCTATTTGAAGTATTTATAAATATATTATCAGATATCAATATATGTAAAATCTAGGGGAATCGATACTATACTTATATTAATCCTAAAACTATTTCAATAAAACAAAGATATAATAAACTCTACAATACAATAAGGATTAGAATATTTCTAAAATATTCAAAAAACACTATTAAATATATAAAAATTTATTTATCAAAATTAGATTATACTTATTACTTTTATTATATTATAATTAATAAAAACTATAAAGAAGAAAATATAAATCTAAAACTCAAAAACTATATAGCCAAATTGCAAGGTATTAAGAATATAGAATCTGATTATAAGCCTTACAATAGATTCAAAAATGTTCCTAAATTATTATTTATTCTGATTGATTTATTAATATTATTAAATAAAATAATTATAAATTTGATAAAGATATATTTATTAATACTAAAACAAACAAAAACTAGAATATTATATTTTGATAAAAATAAATATAAAAATATTTAACAAATAATAAATAATTCACTAAAATCAGAAAATAATAACAAAAAAACAGAGATTACCTTATCTAAAATTATTTTAATTCCTAATTCTATATTATTAAATTCAACTACAATTTTATTATTTATAATATTTATTTTTATATTTATTTTTATATTATCAAATTCAAAATGTAATTTTAGGAAAAAAAAAAGAAATAATAATAATAATATGAAAGGGTATATCTTCAAAATTATTCAATTTCTATTTATCTCCTTAAATAAATTAGTATTAAAATTAATTGAATATATTATAATTGTAATCCCAAATATTCATTAATTTGAAAAGAAAATGAATAATAGAATTGCTTTTAAGATTTTGATTTTTTTAGAGAATATATTAATAAAAATTAAAACTACTTTATTAATAATAAAAATACTCAAAATCAAAATATTAAATATATATAAAAATATAATAATAAACAAAAAGTATATAAAGAATTAATAAATTATAATTCAAAAAAAAATAAATTTATTAATTAAAAATGGTATTTAAAAAAAATTTATTTTATTATAAGAAAATAATTTAGTTTCAATAAAATAAATATTTATTATTAAAACAAAAAATAATAAGATAAAGCAATTTAAGACTAAATTAGTAATTAAAGGATTCAATTAAATTTTAGAGAAAGATTATAATAAAATCTTTATTTTTATAATTTGTTTTAATACTTTTCGCCTTTTTCTTGTAATTATTACAAAAAAAGATCTTAAATATTCTTATTTTGATATTAAAAATATATTTATCAAATTATATTTAAAAAAAGAAATCTATTTAGTATTTTCTCAAAATATTCAAGTTTATTAAAATTGTATACTATATATACTTCGAAGTCTTTATAGATTAAAGCAAATTAATAAAGATTAAAGTCTTCTTTTAAAAAGAGAGTTAATTAAAATAGGTTTTATATAAAGTCTTATAGATTTATATTTATATATTAATCATTTATAATAATTATTTCTTTTAGTTTATATAAATAATATTATTATTATTATTATATAAAAACAGAATATTAAATAGTTTTATAGCAACCTTTCAGTTTGATTTAATATTAAAGATTTAAAAAAGATTAATAAGATTTTAGGAGTGTATATTATTTATAATAGATTTAAAAAAATATTAATTATAAATTAAAAAGAGTATTTGGATATAATGCTTATTTGTTTCAGAATTTTTTATAGTTAATATACTCTAAGAAAAATACTAATCTCAAATTATAACCAATTATAATTAATACTCCCAAATAATAAGCTTATTGATATAAATAAATATTAATAAGTAATTGGTAATATAATTTATTCTATAGTTTATACTAAACCAAATATTATATTTAGTTTTGAAAGGTTAATATAAACTATATTGAATTCTATCAAATATTATAATATTATACTCAAAAACCTTATAAGATATTTGAGATCGACTATTAACTAGAAACTACATTTTAGACCTGGGAAAATTTAATTAGATATTTATAAAGAATATAATCTCTTATAACGAATTATTAAAGTATATATCAATACAGATTAGGTAAATAATAGAATTAATCGAAAAAACATTTTTAATGAAATAATAATATTTTATAGTGGATTAATCTTATAAACAAGCAAAAAGTAGATATCTATAGCTATATTTAGTATAAAAACTGAATACATTTTTATAGTAATATTCATTAAATAAAGGTAATAAATAACTCAATTTTTGAAAGATTTAGAATAACCACAATATATTGAAAGCAATAGTAAAGTTCAAATACTAAAAGATAATCAAGGAATGTTAGTATTAATTAAGAATCTTTATCTATACAAATAATCAAAGTATATTGATATATATTATCACTTCATTCAGGATTTTACAGAAAAATATCTAATCAATATCAGTTATATCAATATAAGTAATATAGCTATAGATGGATTAACAAAACTATATGCAAAAGTAATATTTGAGAGATTCAAGAATATATTAAAATTTTAAAACTAACTATAAAAACTAAGAGAATAAACTCTTTGAAAAAATATTAGAAGTTGTGGTATGTGCATTATATTACTATATATATATCACTTCCACTTCATAATTAGATTTTATCTTAGTATAATTAATTTACATAATCAATATTATATGCATTCCACTGGCCTGCTCCTTTATTGTGAACATAATATATATTTCTCATATATTGAGTAATATATTGATTCTTTGAAGTAACATTCTTTCAAACTTTTTCTCTTATTTCATATATATCGATATTTTCTAGTATAATTATTCTGAAATTATTGTATTATTTTTTCTAATTCAGATAAGTTCTATTATTTTTAAGAATAATCAATTTACTATTAAACTTGAGTAAATAGTTTTCGATAAACTGCTTTTTGTTTTTAGCTATAAAATCGGCCTTTTTCAATTTCTCTTACTTTAAGTATATAAATCTCTTGTTTTCAATTATAAGAGTATTATTGGTTTGAAATTTTATAATATTAATATAGTTAGTTAAATAAAGTAAATAAAGATTGTATATAGATTGTATTATATTTAGTTTATTCCTATAATGATTATAATAGATTCCAAACTAATAGTTTTCTGCTTTTAGAATATTATATAAAGATTTGATAACATATAATATATATCTATTATCAAATCCGATTTTTACTAATATTTCCATATAAATAGGTTTATTCAAAGTCGTAATTGACTGGGTATATACCTATATAATATCCTATAAATAAATCTGAATATACTTATTTGATACTTACAAAATAATAGTAAATATAAGAATAATATACTAATTAACACATTAAATAGTTGGTAATTATATTAAAACAATGATTTTTCTCGTATTTTTGTATACTTGAACCATTAATTGTAACTTTGTATATATTTTATTAGTTCCTTTTTCCTTTATTTTATTAACAAATCGAGATTTAAATAATCGTGTTCCGGGTGGTATGCTAGCTTTGGTGCATACGCTAGTACATACGCTAGTTGCAATACAGTGCCCTCTTAGATCACATGATCGATATCCCGACACCGAGATTTAAGAATCGATGAGAATAATCATAATGACTACCTAGGTATTCACATCAACTTGACCTTACATTTGATTCCATTTCGTATGATTACTATTCGTACATCTCGGTGATTAGTGATACTCGAGTTATATATATCGTCAGCTACAACCCCACCATCATCAACCTTTTCTATGTATATATATATATCACCACTTCAACCGGAATCAAGAAGTATCTATCTCAAGAAGCTTTTCCAAAGAAGCGAACCTTTCGAAAAAAGACCTCCTCAATAGTTGCACCAAGAAAACCTCTCATCTTTTAAAATGTCCACCGCAAACCTCACAATCCATTAACACACCGGACCCTTCCCCACCCCCTCCTCTCGTCAAAATCCTGCTCTCCATTTCCTCGAACACTACGCCAGTAAAATCAACTCCGCATCCTACTCTGGTTCCTATCTTCCCTATTACCATCCACATAGCATCTTTCACGACGCTACTGGTGTTGATTATATCGGCGGCGCCGTAATATGGAAATGGATTCAGGGGTTGTTCGGAGGTGAAATATTTTCGAAGATAGAAATGGAGAGTAAGGAGTTTTTTGTAATCGGAGGATTAGAAGAAGGAACAGCGGGTCCAGCAGGAAAAGGGGAATGGAAAATATATGGGGAGTGGATAGCGCATTGGTGGGTGAAGAGCACAGGGGAAAAAATTAGTGTACCGAGGAGTATGGTATTTACCTTGGTGAAAGCTGAGGGCGAGGGAACGGGAAAGAAACTGGACACTAATGGGGAGATGGTAGAAGAGGTGGGGTTCGAGGGGTTACAGATTGGTGATGTGAGATTATATTACGATCGCAGTTTGTTGAAGGGAGTATTTAAAGTCAGCCAGCAGGAGATAGAGAAGTTTGGTGCTTGATTTTAGCATTGGGAAGACGAGACTACTGCATCCTCGTGGCCCCTTTATTTCCTCTTCCCAGGGTACTTTGTAGGAAGAAAATCAGTATGATGAGAGATAAATCATGTGATAATCAAAAAGGAAAACAGAAAGCCATTCTCATCCAGTGATAGTGAACATGTATACACTGATTCCACTAGGTAAAACCCGATTATAGACATTCGGAATTTCGGGTAAAGTAACTTCCTAGATTTCCATACAATGTATCTGGTAGATTTGTTCCAACAATTACAGACTCTCCAGCCATCACCACTAGGTGTGTATGTTCCATTGATGCCAAGCTTAACCACTCTTGATATCTTCTATCATCTATTTTTACATATCACCTACTCCCCCCTACAATCCATTGAACTCAAGCCTCTCTTTCCTGTACTCTATTAAGCATCTAAAGGCTTCTGCCCATAATGCGCATATCTGTCAGAATCAATTAGCATGACTATCCTAACATCACTTCCCACAAAGTCTCCAAGGAAGAAAGACAATAGAACACTAACATTTCCCAATAAGCATGAATTGACGTATCCTTCATTTCCCTCCTAACATCCACCAAAAATAATTCTAATTCATCTACACTCCATCCTAATAGCCTTGTAAATATGGCTACACTCAGTCCCATAAGTCCGGAGGTGAGATTTTCTTGATGCCACATTCCTGTTTCAATTCATATTAGCATATATCTCTTTACCCCTTTTATATCTCTTGGCATCATCTCCAATCTTTCCTCGGAACTCCTTTCCCTCATTTAGAAAAATTATCACTCACCCAACTCCTTAGCTTTAGCATCCTTCGGCCACTTGTTTCCTGGCCACTTATAAATTGTCCGACTAACGCCCTGGAACCCTCTCTTCTCCAATTTCTCTTTACAAGTGATTGCACTGTCCAGATCTCTGCCAGCTATAATACTTCCTTCTAACAGTAATTGTGACCATTTAAGAAGCGCTGAATCGGGCTTCAGTGTATCATCTGCGCAGGATACGGGGAGTCGAATATCTAGAAGTTCAATGTATCCACCTGGTTTCAGGTTACTGTTCCAAATATAGTTAGCACGGTGGAAAAATCTGTGAATTTGAGAAAAAGAATAACTAGGAATACATCGACAACAGACAAAAATATGAGAGATAACTCACTTCCAAGCTTGATCAAAGAATCGATCCCAATTCCCAATACTCCCCGTCATCATTCTCGCATAGATAAAATCAAACGCATCACTATCCTCAAAAGTCCATTCCTCTTCCAAATCATCCACTTGAAATATTGCATTCGGAGGTGTAAACATTGGTTGAATAGGACTTAAATCAATTCCCAAAACCGTAGCTTGAGGATACTCATCCGCAAAATCTGTTGTCCAAATTCCCGTTCCACAACCTACATCCAAAACCCTCTCAATCTTATCTGCCTCGATTGGTGCTGTGAAAAGCTTGCCATCAAATGTGAGACTACATATATGATGTTGTAAATCTAATCTTTCTTGTTCCATATCATCATTAGGATATGCATATTTTCCATCTTTATAAGCGTGATATGTACGTCCATTCTCTATGCGGTATCTAGTAATACTCGATGCGAGTGAGGTTGTGGAACTTCCAGGTTCGGATCCAAGGGCTGAATCGCCATCGTCGATTAAAGCTTCCGGATCGTCGGCTTCTAGCGTTACTGGTAAGGGAGCTGGTGTTGGAGCTTCTGTTGCCGGTTCAGATCCTATGGGCGGAGGCGAAGCCATTGCAGTGTAGAGGACAAATGTATCGATAGATAAATGACTATTATACGAACCAATAGTTTCAAACACAAGAAATAAATCAAATATCGTTCCAAAGTAAAGTATCAATTCAATTGATCAAAACGTTGATCTCAAAAACCCCTATAGGGTATCAAAAAATTAATTACTGACGTAGTTTGTACGAGGATTGCGTAACCAAAGAACTATATAAAGAACACAAAAGGAAGAAAGAGAGCCCTCCGAAAGGAGAATGGCATACGGAACTCTTATATTAGAGAGCTACTCCAATAAAACCTCGGTGCTGATGTGCAAACAATTATTAATCGACCAGACATGGTCCTAGACAATCATGATCCCAAATGACTTCAATTCGGGAATCTGACACGTACAGCAAAGAGAACAAGATAACCATTGCGGATTGCGGTCGGCAAAAAAATTCAAAATCTGATATGTTTTCAAAAGAGATCAGTCCTGACTCCTGCCTGCTTGTCCCACATCCAAAAGTCTCTTATATGAAGCAACTTACATATTCCTCTCCACATTCATGATTGGATTTTGCTCTCGGAGTTCCTTCCCATCATGATCCCCCATACAGGGCGTTTTACTTTCTACAAGGAAAATCCCTTGTTCCCTCGTGTCTATTGGTGATAACAACGGGCTTTACAAAAGCCGAAGTGGGGTGAGTCTGCCAACAACTTTAAGGAAGCAATTATCCATGTGCATTTAACATGTCGATCATGAGGTTTCGAGAATTTTTTCGATGTAACGATTTGAAATGCATACAATACAGTCAAGAGATGAATAATTTGCTTCGACCAAGTAGCAAAGTGAATCAACTTCTGCAAATGGTGTTATTATCTGAACTTGAAGAACAATCAATGTAAGAAACGAATTCTCTGTCAAAATGTCAGCAAGACCAACAATTAGAAAAAGCATATCCTTAGCATCGTCCCCATCTTATATGCACGTCGTTCATTCGACCGAATCACACCTCCGTTAAGATCTTTTTGACTTCCTCGAACACTAGCCGTGCTCACCGCACCAGCACAGCTGTCGCCAGCCGCCTTAAAAGTCATACATATTAGGGCCCCCGCAACTCTGCTTGAAACCACCCTTGCAAGTCATGGTATACGCGTGCGCTCCCGTTAGACTACTTGGTTCAGGGTTTGGCGGCACCGATCCCGCGTAACATTCCCGTCCATATTCTAGTGCAATGTATTTGTAGGTAGGTGATGGGGATTTGAGCAGTGACTTGAGCTAGGGCAGAAGAAATACAAAGTTTGGGGCTCATTGAATCTTTGGAGAAGAATTTGGGGAGATTGAGTCCTCCATATGGTTTTCCTGCGGGGTCGTTGAAACAACCTATCGACGCAAATTCCAATGTTGCAGTGTTGCCTACTGAAGGAGTGGTAGATGTTCTGATTGATGGGTAATCATTCGATGGGAAAGGAGCCACTGAAGAAATCGCCGAGGGGGTACTGGATCGTGTATCTATCGTAGATGAGTTGCTGGTTGAGGAGATGAGTGAGACTAGTGCACTGGAGGACCACGATGAAGATATTGAAGAGGCAATCACACCACTTTGAACGGGGGAAGAGACCGAATTGGTTGAGGGAATGGAGCTCAAGCTTGAATTAGCGCCTGTGCCGTTGTGATACATCTGTAAATGAGGTGACCCACCGCACTGAGTCATGCTATTGAGTAAACTCCAACGGTTGTACACATAAAAACTAGACTTGCCTATTCCAAGGAATTTCCCATTCAAGTCAAGGACCAAATACTCCTTGATGTAGACACAAAACTACCTGCGTTGATGACATTTCCACTATAGCCCATGGAAAATTTAGCTTGAAAGCAAAGATATGGTGGTGCTTGATAATTTCATTCACTCCCTCCAATATCCAATGCCATATCAGATAAATGCGGAACAAAAAGCATAACAGCTTTCAATATTCATCCTATTATTTGCATCAGTATTGCCAGTTAGAGCTCTTCCGATGGTACCCTCGGTATAGCACCCTACGAAGGTGTTTGAGCCGATACAGATTGAATGATCACAGGTCAAGTCGAGGCTGGTACGACCGAGGTAGTCGGTAGAAGTAGAATTTGGAGTGGAGGACGCAGTGGTAGAAGAAGTGGCTGTGGAATATTGGGACAAAGTAATCGCTGGTGGAAAAGATGAAGAGGACTATGTGGTAGAAGTTGAGATTGAACTACTACTGCTGTTTGAAGAATTGAGAGTTCAGGAAATGAATCCGGGTCAGGCACATACTTGGTCCTGTGATAGTAAACTGATACAAATGTACCATCTCCCCCGCATGCCTGTGTTATATCTCCAAGACAACTGAATGCACATTTGTTCAAGGACAGGTCACTACTTTGAAAGAATTAGATTTCCAACTTGTAAAATCAAACACGAAAATTCTATTTCGCTGCTTTTGGATCAATGTTTCCACACCAACTTTCCGTGTCTGTCAAAATCGGCTGTGATCAGGAGGTGCTCCTCGTCCGAGATACAGACAATACTCAACACCGGCGAATTTTGATGCAACCGTTTACTGAAGTGATGGCAATTTTGGCGGTAATCAATAGCTCGAGTCCTGGTGGAACCAATAGCAACTTAATCAAAGTCGACTGGCTGAGTATACTGAAGAGGTAAAGCAACCGGAGATTCTGAACATATGACACTGCCATTAATATCCAATACATACAAGCGTACATCTTCAAAATTTGGACATTGAAACTGATTGAGACCTCCAGTTGGCGGAATTGGAATTGGAGTCAAGATTCCATTTACAGGCTTGGCTTTTATATGTAGTAGAGTAGTAGTCGGTATCCCTAGAGAAGCCTTAGCAATACAATACGAAAGTGAACTAAGGTCCCGTTTTTTTGCCTATTTCCACAGCTCCTGTGAAATTTGATGGGCTTCGTCCGAACAAAATAAAAAGCAGCGCGTCTTGATCGTCATATCCCGGCTTGTAACAGACTGTTGGAAAGCCTAGATAGTGTAAGCCATGAATATATATTGTTTGAACCTGAATTCAATCAATCACGTATCAACAAGAGTAGAACTTGGTTTATTTTCCGTGAAATATATGTCGTATGCGTACTCACTAGATACAACCTCCTTCGAGAGGACATGAACCTGGGCCGGCAAATATCGAACGCTGAGCAATGATTGGTTGGAGTATATTGTCAGATCCTGTAAGACTGTCAACCGCTGTATCCATGAGGATGACTACAGAAATACCTCCAGGCCCCTGGTTGAACCCATCAAGATTGTTCACATTCAAAACAATAATTTAATGTCAGCTATTGCATGTCACTGGAAAGCTTCCCGAACTTTTTGTACTATGCTTTCCCAATTTTCCAATGACAACTGCGATGCATGAAAACCAGTGCCGATAAACACTGTAGGGACCAATAGAGCAACACCACCGGATCCTAGATCTTGACCACCAGCACCCATAGGGACGTATTCGTACGGGTCGAAATAATCTGACAAAATGATTTTGCCGGCGGGTGAAATGGCGATATTCAACACAACTTCGTCCAATGAAAGTGGAGATTTTCCCGATGTCGGCATATCCTCATTTGCATGCTCCTCTCTATCCCTTCAAAGTTTAGCATATGCAATTGCATATACCACAGAATACTCCAAGTGTCCAGTAGCAAGAAACAGTCGATTTCCATCTGTCGCCACGCCCATACCCCCTTACCATGTTCCAGCTTTCCCACCTTGTTGAGTATTAAAATCTGCAACGACCAACAGATCACCCGGACTTGACTCCATGATGAAGATGGACGTAACTTCAATTCCAGAAGTTGCGCTAACTACAACTGATGGCCTAGTATAATGAAAAGCTCACAATGCCGTCCAAATGCGCCAATCACCACGCCGTTGATTAAGGTGACAGATGGTCGTTGAAGAACAGTACCGCCGGGAAAGTACCTAACAATATAAGCCTGATTAGCTTGGAGATAAAAGAACCTATCCACCTGGTAAGGCCAGTGATATCCTGAAGAGTAATGATATCAACAGCATATAATGTGTAAAACCCTGTCTACCTATCAGCGCCAAATCCTCCATACCATAGCATTTCTTGTCATTAGCGACACCCCCAGTAGCAGCTTCATCCTTGTATGTCTTGGAGAAATATTATAGAAGATCATTTGCTGGATCTATAATAGGAGTTCAAACAATGTCAATAATATCTGGGACATCAGCACGTCTGTCTATTTGTATCAAACTGTGGTCCAATCCATCTCCAGCTAAAGTTACCAAAGATCAATTTTTAGAAAAGGTGGCTGTATAACTCGTAAGTTCAACAGAGTCTCATTAACAGCATCCAAAGCAAGTGTGTACTAACGGTTTTGCATGCAATTCCTCCTTATTGTTCCCGTATCAATTTTTCCGTAATATCCCGAAAATAGCAGAACCTACTGTTGAAGGCTGCATTATTATCCAAGTATCTAGATCGAGATTTTTTGATACTTGAAGATGAAGATTGCAAAATTGAGACAAGGCAGAAAGTTTGACATAAAGACATCCCCCCATTTTTGCAATTGGTACAGAGCGCAGGAAGGCATCGAAGTGATAACGTGATGACACTTACCATCTGTGAGATGAATCAGAAATTCGACGGAAAGCTGCATTATTTCCCAAGGGAAGCGTATGGAGGAAACAAAAAATTCCATACCTCAAATGATCACGGCAGATCCATACGACCATAATGTGATACCCTGATATATCGCAAAACCAATTGACATGCAAATGTATACCAAACTCCCACAACATATATACCGGATTTATACTTCCTGGTATGATGTTTTCCATACGATGGTTTCACTTGAACACAGCTACCCGGTCAAAAGAACAGTCCGGATTGAAAGTGGAAGTCTCTTGAACAAAGCCTTAAAGCTTTGATATGCAGATTATTCTGAGAGCATGCCGAAAAGGAAAATGATAGAGAAGACACAAGCACAAAACTGACATTGAATTCGATGGATCTTCATCTCATCCCCAGTTTTCCTGCTCGCGATCAATAACTAATCGTCTTTCAAGTAGTACTGAAATTCAACGCGTATGCTATCATGACTATCGGAGCATAAGTGAATAGAGAACCATGCGACTTAGCAATTTCGCGACGTTACCATTGAACATTATAAGATGATATACGATATGCGATATAAAGAGAAAAATGAGGTCTTGAGAAGAGAGGAAGAGAAGCAATAACGACACCTCTGCCCGATTTTCAGGCTTGTGGAATTCGAACATTCACAATTCAATTTGTTTGTGCATTCATAGGCACTTCGCCTCACTCACATGACCAAACCAGCCTGTAACGAATTGAAATTATTAAAACCATCCAGAAAAATTCTAGCCCCAAATTCTGACCAAGTTACCAACTTTATCATGGAAATTGTATCAAAAAGCCTAGATAACTAAAGATTCATTGCATTGGGACAAAGCGTTGAAGTGATATAATGGCGCAAACGAATCTCGTGGACTCGTCGCGGGAAACGAGAATATTCGATAGACAAGCCAAATTCCTCAAAATATTCTTCAAGAAGCACGATCTGGAGAACATAGTGCGATGAGCTAGATATCCTGATCTTTGATCCATCTCATTAGTTTCCAGACTACTGCTACAAGTATAAAGATTGTGCTTCTGGGTCAAGAAAGCATAGATCTGGATTTCTACATCTATTCCTTGTCCCATGTTCACTTGGTTCATTTTTAGCATGAGATGTTTGATGTATGTCAGGAATTGACCAAATCAGGAGCAATAATTTGTGATTAGCATTTGGATTCCGTTTATAGCTGGTACGAAACATATGTGTGAAGGATATCCATGTGTATTAATCACTTGGTGTGATATATCTGATATATTACAACATTCCAAAACTATCCACCATTCTTCATTTCTCAATCATAACCACCAATAATAATCAATCAATGCCCCAAACTTTTTCTCCAAACGTTTCAACTAACTTTAATAAACTGGCATGTCAAAAGCATCCAAATCATAAATCCATGAATCAATACTCTCCTGATCATACTGACACTCCATCGTAGTTCCATTGTTTGTCCAGAACGGTCTCAGAGGCCATCCGCAGATCTGTTGATTCGTACCCTTATTCGCCCCCTGCAAAACTGTCGCATTCAAAGTGACAGGTGCCACTCCATTCTCTACCCAATCAATGAGTACCTGCAAGTTCGTTTGTGGCCATGGTCCATTAGGTTCCGCTGTATTGACTGCACAATGTGAACCGCCTGGTACAAGGAATAATCGATAGAATTCATTAGTTGCAGCGACAGAATCATTATACGAAAGACCTGGGTTCATGATTTCTCGCACGGATTCGAAGTAGCGAACGGATGAGGCGGTCGGAATACTGTAATCAGATTCACCATGGAAATGGATAATTTTTCCGCCGGCATTTTTGTAAGGGGTGAGGTCTGGCCAGTTTGTCATGAGAACATCATTGTATCGGTTCCAACCATCTTGAATCCAGTCGCGGAGAGTATCGTATGTTACTCCCTCGAGAGATTGGAGGTTTGAACCATTTTTGAGATCCAGAAGGACTTCAACGAATGAACCACCAAGAGAGGTAATACTAAGTCCATATTCACCCGTGGTGGCGTTATATGCTGTAGCCGCATCTGTAAAAGTAGAGGATGGAGTGTATGAGAAATAAGCGCGTTTACCGTCAGTGGTGTGGAAACCGTCGAGGATTTTCTGGGCAACGGCCAAACCCTTGGCCGAGATTGAACCATTTTGTGCGGGTGTAGGAGAGGAAAATGGACTTCCTGTTGACGCTGGGCAAGAGTATGGTGTACCCAAAAGTGTTGAAATATTGAAGTTCATTGTGCAAAGATCTGTTCGTGAGACGACTCCGTCTATTTTGCCATCATATGGATCGCAAGCAATAATTGTCTCGTTCACAATCTTTTGCAATTCACAAGGCGGTGGATAATAGTCCAAAGTCTTCTCCACAATATTGGAATAAAGATGTTGAACCTGCTGGAATGCAAATCTGAAAGCCGGTGCACCAATTGTTGCTCCATCAAATTGATCCGCAAATCTTTGAACTTGACTCCACCCTTCTCTGCCACCTTCCGAACAACCTTGATAGTAAGAATATAACGTAGCATTATTAGCTGTCATATTGAAAATCGATGTAGTAAATTCCTTTCCAATGACACTCATTTCATGGATAGCATTATATCCAAACATATAGACATTTTGCCAATTAAGTGTTCCGTTCGCAAGGAGGAAATCTGAAATGACATTGTTCTGGAATATTCCAAAACCACCATCAGTGTCACCAGCAACTGCGCCATATGCAACTCCTCCAGGTAATGACATAGCTCCTGAGTTGATGGCATATCCCCCACCACCTGTAGAAAGGTAGCGATTTTGGAAATTTGCCGGTGCAGGAACCCAGTATGTTAAGAGCACACTGTCATCTAGACCGTTGTGTGAGTACTTGAAAGTAATAGCACAGTAATCGATCACAGCATTTGGATAGAACACACTCGATGCTGTGGCGTTTGTCACCGTTTTGGCTGTGATGGATGTTGGATCAAGAGTTATCCCATGATAGAAATCGACAGCTGGAAAGTTGGCTGCGAGATAAGTTGATGTACAGATATCGGTCAGCGTAAGAGCTTGCGTCAAAGCCGGAAGTGAAGCAATGGCGGTAGCAAGATTTAGAGAACGCATATTGATCTCCACCGAGTAGCTCGAACCGTGTGTGGTTAATAAGATGGAGAGAAAGATGAGATGAGGATGAAACACTGGAGTCATTCTCGGTTCTTATACTCCTGAGTTCTCTTGGTCAAGAGATTGTAACATAATCGAATACCCGCATGTGGTCTGAGTTTTGCTACTGTATAACCTCAGCGAACTGGTTATGGTCTAACCATATTCAGTTCTAGTTCCTCTCTCTCCATACCCAATTAAGGAGGATGAAGAAACTCTGAGTGAATGTTATTGCAACACTGAGTTTAGTCCTCTTTCCCTATCGATTCCGGCACCTTAATCCCCACAAGAAACCCTAACATCATCAAAAATCTTGAGTTGTATTGTTTTGAGCCCCACAAACCAATCACCAACCCCGCACTCTCCCCGAATTCAACAGAACATCGTCGCCACAAGCATCCCCACGCGTACGTATTGAAGATTAACCGAGCCCGATTAATATAGAGCTGGGAAGCTGAGCAGCGTGTATGATTGGAAGAATCAGCAAATTGATTCAAGGTGGAGATGAAAAGGGTTAATGGCGACTGCATGTGTTTAGCATATTGAGTGGTTTAAAGCGGGATAGGAAACATCGGTGCTTTCGGTAGTTATAGCTGATAGCCAAAGCTATCGATCCGGGGGCGGAGATGAGGTGGGGATGTACCTTCTATCTAGGGTGAAGAAATCCGTCATATTATGGCAGGAAGTAGCAGGTGCGGTGTGTTATTCAAGGCTTCGAAATTGGTTCAGCAATGAATTGATTGATTCTACGCTGTTGATAAATAACATGGAAGAGAATATGAGCCACAAAGACGTAAAGTAGGGAAAAGGGAGAAGAATCGCCAAGTATTTCGTCGGGTTCCAAACGCTAAACTGAATTGGGACTAGACTTACAGAGCTCTGCATCATGTGACTAAATGTCAAGTGACATTTCCATCGAGTTCTACCATCACGTCTGAACTTACTAGGTATCTCCGCTCTCAATCTTCAAAAACTTGTCCTTGACATCCAAATTATGTCTTATTTGATTGAACAAGTCTATGACTATGACTTTATAGTTCAATCAGTTTGGGTCTGAACTACATCCTTAGACCTTTTGTCATGCTCTTCTTCTCTACAGCCATAAGTCTGCATTACTACCATCGCCCATGATGGTCAGTCACTGTAGGCATTACATACGACGTATTAATATCTGCTTAAAGTTGAGTGGCGTACATATATCTTTCTCACCGCCAAAGCTATTCCTGCTTGTACCGGTCATCTGTTTATATATTTCTATGATTTATTTTTGTATTATCATTGGCTATATATACCAACGGAACTCTTCAGAGTTCTTCTCCATATTTTGAGGCAAAGATGTCGAAGATCTCTAAATCCTGAAAGTATGATTGGCTTTCATACATTCTTATACGCGGTTCGTCTCTCTATACGCGTTTAATCTCTCTATACGCGCTTGGTCTCTTTCTATACGCGTATTCGAGCGCCAAGATGTTCGTTCCTCCACACGAAATGCTATTACGATTAGTAACATGTCTATTGACCTCTCTTTTCATCCAAATTACGATACAGAAATGAATAGGAGAATGACAACATATCATAATCCCCAATCAAACTCTGGCTCATAATTTCCCATAATGGATATAAATACAATACATGAAGAGCGAAAGACAGAGTTCTTCCTTCATCTCATGTACGATTTCCTAACTTATATCAAGATGAGACTTTTACCTTCTTTGTGCGCGGTTTTATATCTTTGGGCTGGGGGAAGTGAAGTTGCAGCTACTTCGGGTGATTCTTTTGCTTGTGAGTTGTTTCATTTTGGCTTCTTGTAGCAAGGAAGTGCGAGGTGTGAGGTTTCAGAGTCCCGAGGTGTATGGATAGAAGAGACTCCTATTGTCCAGTTAGTTCAACTCGGATATAGAGAAGTTTCATGTTGTCCAATTCAACATTTGAGAAATCAATCTTCGCATGGTTGAATTTTGAACAAATAGACAAGGCGTTGTGTCTTTTCCAAACCTCCTAAGCTTCCTTGCTTGATACACTTTACCAAATACGCCATCTCCGTCTCTCCCTATCCACTTTCACATTCCCTAACCTATGTCCCTCACACTTCTAACATATCCCCAGCATCCCCCTCCCAAAACTGGACGCACGCCCAGGAGCTCGCCCGCAATTTCGTCAGCCGACTAAACATTACCGAAAAATCAAACATAGTAACAGGAACCTACCATGCCACTACTCTCGACGGCGAACTCATGAGTTGTATCGGGAACGTCAGTCCCATCCCGCGTCTCAATTTCACAGGAATCTGTTTGAACGATGGGCCCGCCGCTGTTGCTCGTCAGGATCTCATCAGTGTTTTTCCTTCTGGTGTCACATTAGCTGCAACATGGGATCGTGACTTGGTATACCAAAGTCACAGGGCATTGGGAGAGGAATTTAGAGGGAAGGGTGCGCATGTTGCTTTAGGGTATGTTTTCATCTCAAATCCAATCTGAAAACATCATCGTCTGGACCAGAACTAAAAATCCCCAAGACCAGTAGCAGGACCCCTCGGTCGTCATCCCTTGGGAGGTCGCAATTGGGAAGGATTTTCCCCTGATCCCTATCTCACCGGTCATCTAATGACCGCTTCCATAACCGGCATGCAAAGCGTTGGGGTCCAAACCTCTTCCAAACATTTCATCGGCAATGAACAAGAAACCCAACGAACCAACTCTCAACTTCCAGACGGAACAAACATCGATGCGGTTTCTTCCAATATCGATGATCGAACCCTTCATGAATTATATCTCTGGCCTTTTGCAGATGCAGTACGTGCTGGTACCACTTCAATAATGTGTAGCTATAACCGCATCAATGAAACTTACGCATGTGAAAATCCGCATCTACTCAACGATATCCTGAAAGGCGAATTGGGATTCCAAGGCTACGTCGTCTCGGATTTCTTCGCCACACACTCCGGATATCCTGCCGCAAACGCCGGTCTCGATATGGATATGCCCGGCTACGTTTCTCAAGCCGCCATCCCCACCGGCGAAACATATTTCGGTCCTCATCTCATCTCCGCTATCCAGGCAGGTAATATGACGGAAGATAGATTAGACGATATGGCTACCCGAATCATGACTTCTTATTTCCTCCTCAATCAAGACAGCGATTATCCCACTCCCGACCCGAGCCAAACATACGTCATGGCAAACATATACGGCTATGATTTCGGCGCCCAAATTCCCGCCCGCGACGTCCGCGCTAATCACTCCTCTCTAATCCGACAAATCGGCTCTGCAGCAACCGTCCTCTTAAAAAATACAAACAACATCCTCCCATTATCTAAACCCCTAAACATAGGCGTCTTCGGCAATTCCGCCCCAGATCCTACCGGTGGTCTTACCTGGCCGGACTCAGACCTCCACACCGGCTTCGACATCGGCACCCTCGATATCGGCGGTGGATCCGGCTCCGCTCGTCACACCACCCTCGTATCCCCCCTTACCGCCCTCCGAAACCGCGCCGCTACATACGGAGCACGCGTCCAATATCTCACCAACAACGCACTCCTCTCCACCTCCTCTTTCGGCAGCATCTACCCCACCCCAGAAATCTGTCTCGTATTCCTCAAAACCTTCTCTTCCGAAGGCGTAGACCGTGAATCCTACTCCCTAGACTGGAACTCCACCCTCGCCGTAAACAACGTCGCATCTTTCTGTCACGGCAACACCATCGTCATCACCCATTCCTCCGGAATAAACACTCTCCCCTTTGCCCAAAACCCCAACATCTCCGCCATCCTCCTCGCGCACTATCCCGGCCAAGAATCCGGAAACTCCATCGTCGACATCCTCTTCGGGGACGTCAACCCCTCCGGAAAACTCCCCTACACAATCCCCCTCCACGAGGATGACATGCACATCCCCATCGTGAATCTCAGCGTCGCCGAAGTCCAAGCCCAGGGAAAAAACGCCTGGCAAAGTGATTTCACCGAAGGCCTCGCAATCGATTACCGAGGTTTCGAAATGAAAAATGTAACTCCCCTCTACGAGTTCGGATACGGATTAAGCTACACGACATTCAATCTCACCTCCTCTCCCTCCATCCAAATCCTCTCAACCCAAAACCAATCCATCACCGCGCGTCCCGATCCCCTCTCCCCCATCCTCCCAGGCGGAAACGCAGATCTGTATACCCCCCTCTTCACCCTCACCACCAGCGTTAAAAACACAGGAACGCGAGCTGGTGCTACAATTCTCCAATTATATATTTCTCTCCCGGAAAAAAGTACACCGGAAGGAACACCGAAGAAAGTGCTGCGCGGGTTTGAAAAGGTGGAGATGAGCGGAGGAGAAGAGAAAGAAGTGGTGTTTTCGGTGCAGAGGAGAGATGTAAGTTTTTGGGATACAGAATTGGGGGATTGGGTTGTGCCGGAGGGGGAGATAGGGGTTGCGGTCGGGTTTAGTGTGCAGGATTTGCGAGCGAGGGTGGGGGTTGTGGTTAGATAGGTTGGGAGAGCAGAGCAGAGGAGGGGAATGGAGAAAGCAGAAACGGAGAAATGAGTGAGGGGGATTGATATGTAGTGAGATGTGAATCTGTTTGTAAATATCGTAAACCATAGGACACTTGTTTCGAGACTGACTATACTTTAAAACCTCAAGTGTTGAGAATCGAAATGATCTCATACATACATCTTCCCGCATAATTCCAACGCCAATAAACAACCCATCCACTATCATACCACCAATAAAATTCCATGAACTCAAACACCCAACACCAATACTCTTACTCTACAAATCCCCACCCAGCACAAAGGTATATAAGAAATGCAGAGATGCTCGAAAAACTCCAACGTATACTCATCAATACATATAGCAGGTATCAAAAACAAAACACCAGGTGCCAATACCCTTACCCTAAAACCCCCACCCAGCCCATGAATAACAAGAAAATAAAAAGATACCCAGAATCGCCAGAGTACACGCATCAAAACACAGAAAATCATCAACACATGTAATGTAGCAGGTAGGTATCCAAAACAAATAAAAGCCAGGAACAAGATGAACTCCTCGATCTGACAATAACCCAACCCAGCTTGACCGACACATATCACGTGTTCTCGTCCCTAAACCAACCAAACGAGTCTCTGCAAAATCATAATTCCTTTCCTGCATGAGCAAAAAATGGCGGGATGCCGCTGCATACTTTTCGAAAACAACGAATGATACCAGAAATCTCCCATTGACCTTCCAGGATAGAGATCAAGTATTTCACCCACTACCTAGGCGGTATCATCCGATTTAGAACAGAATTCAGTGAATCTCGATAATTTCATAACCACCATCAGTGAACGAAGGAAGTGCTGCCCGAGCAATTCGTGTATCCCCGATCAGGCGATAATGTTCGTTGACCTTTCGTAGGATAAAATCTTCAGGCCACCCGATCAAATGGAATATTTTGTCCCCTGGAATCAAATCAGGAGGCCCGGCCCCTAGTGTCCCATTCTTTGTCACGAAAAACATTCTGCCAGATAGCTGTCGAAATTTCTCGAAGACTGTTTCTTCGTTAAATTGATCAAAATCTGGTTCATTCGCTGGTTCATTCAGGGCCTTTGAAATTTCTGGGAGATTGGATGAATCTTGACCGAGAAGGATCTTGAGTGTACTAAACCGATCTGTTTCGTCGCACATAATCATCGCAAAGGTTGTAGCTTCGCAGTTAAACTTTAAGACGTTTTCTTTCCGATAAGAATCAAGGGTAGTGTTGGCATCCATTCCTACGAAAATACGAAATACAGCCTCTAAGACCGTGAGACCATTTGGTAACGAATTATCTTTGAGATCAGATAAAACTTTCCACTCGCCGTAATTCATCATTGATGTAGTGGCATAACATCCCTTCAAAAAAGACACTTCATCGTATAAAAGACCAGTGACTGATAGAACTTGTCCATCCGCTGAAAAACTGACGAAATCAGATAAGTTAGCTACAGGGCCAAGACTTTTCCCCTTGAAATGTGTGAGAGGGAGTAATTTGAAGCTCCTAGCTGTCCAGTCAGGCACCCAAGATGGCAGTGAAATATCCGGGCAGTATAAGCTGCAAGCAAAAGCTATAGGCTTTAGACTGTTCTTCTCCTCAATCATGATATGGGCAGCTTCAGAAAACACATGTGAAACTGATTTGGTATAGCTTGGGCGAAGAAGCGATCGATACTTTTCGAGATGAGGAAGTCCAAGAAGTGCGTATATGTGATCCCTCGGATCAGTGCTTTTAAGAATTGAAGATAAATAAAGGTAATTAAATAATGATGGAGTTTTGTCTCTCGTACAATCAACCAATTTTGAGTTTCGGCAATTGTGCAAATTAAGCAATGGTGCGATATCCATCTCGTCAGATATCAAGTCAGGATCAAGCCAACTGCGGCTAGATGTCATGCCAATAAGTCGAATCGATGCCATTGTGCAAGTGAACTCACTTATTGCATCAAATGATAGACGTTCATGCCCACATTGCATCGTAACCATGGGAGGTAGGGCAACTTCTTGCTGTATCCAGACTCGCTTCCAATATGGTCTTTGCAGTAAGTTCTTAAGAGCGGCGAAAGATTTTGGCATGAGTATTTCATCTTCTAATTTGCTTTCGAAGAATTCGCGTAGGTCGCCATCTAGTAACGGTATCGAAAATGAGGCCCATCTTTGGATCATTCTGAGCGCCAAAGAGCTATCATCAGACTCCTCCCCTAACCACGAAAGCCCCATTTCGGCTTTCTTGTAGACGTCCGCCATCATTTGTAGTTGTCTATCTCTCTCGGGGATGTCATTCTGATTGATGCAAACAGCATCCACCCAAATAATAATAGTATTCTTGTCGTCTCTTAGATGTCGTAAAGCTGATTCTAGGTTGGGAGTGACTTTGTGTTTGTAACCGTTGACACAGATGTATGAAGTATCATTTGGTTCTCCCCATGTGTAGGACAATGCAACATACGCCTCAGTAGAAGTATCAGATGCCAGGGAGATAATACGGCAGGTAGTGTTGATGTTCTCGGAGAAATCTTCGGATGGTAATATCTCGAGAACTCGTATTTCGCTCTCTTTCAATGGAGTATAAAATGAAGCCGACATGATTCATAGATTTTCGAGTAGATCGAAGAAGATGTAAGAATTTGAATGCTGAATCTCGAAGTGTGAGGCTCAGATACTGAAAAGAATTGAGAGTAGAAGTAGCATTCCAACAATAGTCCTAGGTAGAAATTTTCACACTTCCCCGGTTGTAATCCTGTCAATTTGATAGAGAGTATGGCTGAGTGATGAGACATGCTTCGCATATTTTGCACTCTTCGGATATCTACATACTTTCCACAGCAAACACATAAGAGATTTGCTTTGCCAGACTACCGGTGTGCAATGACTCCCGTCGGTGTGTACTGCAGGTTCTCATTCCATGCTTTTAACAGGCCTTTGTGAAAGATGCTTCCCCATTGGTATGTATAGAGAGTCTTGATAGGTCAACTAACCAACCATCAACATATAAAGGAATAATTCTCATAATATGCCTTGCATAGGTATAGAAATTGACGACAACTGACATATCTCAGACTTCTTCTCAACATATTAATGATCGGCACCGGCTGAGGGATTTTTCCAAATCAACGGGTATGCACTTCCAAGACCATGACAGGTCCTTTTCAAATCCCCGCATTGCAAACGCTCTCAAAAGAAACTCATACTTTCCCGACAACCTACACGTCCGTGCCGTCGAAGAGTCTTAGTACGCAAAGCCATTTTCCAGGCTTTCTTCTAAGAATGAACTGCCAACTGCCGTTGAAAATTTTGATTCTGCGGGCCAAACGAATATTGATAATATTGTGATAGGAATCGGATTCAATGAGATAAAATATGATGCATTCGAGCTAAAGGCACTCTCGATATTCAAACACATCAAGGCAACGACTTACTTTTCCTTGAAGGAATGGCGTGATATGATAACGCTGTCGTCCTGTGGAATTATCTGTATATGGAGATATTGATAATACTACCTCAACAGAAAAAGGAAACATCGAAAGATATCAATATTCGCATGGGCTACTAAAATGTAAATATCTTGAGATCAGAACTAACGATATTCCTTACCATATCAATATCTACTCTGAACTCTTTAAGAAACCAAACTTTCTCTTAGGGCTCCAGCTAGGATTGATTTTACTTACAAGAAAAGGATTAACAGAAAGAATAAACATCAAACCCAATAACCAACCCGCAAGTGATGATCTGTTTGACGCCGCCGTTGACACCGCCGTTGACATCGCTTTTTCTTGTGCGACCTACCTATCGATGTGTGTTGTTTTTCTTTTCGGTATCGCACAGGAGGAAGAATACCTGCTCGACCCCCACCCAGCTAGGATGTAACTACAAATTCAACGCTAGGTAGGTAGGTAGCTGGAGATCCCCGAAGTGGCTGTGGCTGTGGCTGTGTTTGGGGGCCCAGGTGCCCAGGTGGCGCAAGGAAGTATCAAGCCACTGGGGCATTTTTTCATGTGGGAGAGGATAGTATATTAGGTAGGTACTATCAATCACAGAAGAGATGGAATTGGATTGGAAGAGTATGAAAGCCCATAAGTTACACGACCAAAGTGACCGAGAGGCCGGGGAGCTATGTGAATATCTTGCGTACCATATCATCTCAATACCACAGAGATCTTCACAGTAATAGAGTTCCATAAGCATCACAAATACATGAGTAGAATGAATGAATGAATAAATGAATGAATGATTATCATTGAAACCTCTGTAAACCCATATCCCTTCCGTTCATCCATCCATCCAACCATCCAGAAACCAGCGCTAACGCCAACATATTATCCATTAATCATTATCCAGCATTTGCATTCGCAATCGCAATTGTATCATCATATCACTCGTACCAATACGTACGCAATACATCTCCCCACCCACCAATCTCCAGTATCATATATCCCCCCCTCCTCATCCTCCTCACAACCCTCTACTTAGCATAAGTATTCGCCGGCTGCGTCACGCCACTCGTCCCATAATAATCCGCATTCGCACCCGCATGCGCACCACCATACGTCGGCGGTGCACCCGCCGGCGGCGCATATGATTGTTGGGGCTGTGAATAATTGTAGCTGGCGGGTGCTTGACCATAGGTAGCAGCGGGTTGGGTGTATGCCATAGGTTGGTTCGTGGAGCTGATTTGGTTGCGGCGACGACGACGCTTGGATATGCACCTGGAGTTGTTAGGGATGGGTTGGAGAGATGGAATGGGAATGGGAATGGGAATGCTGGATACTTACATGATGGCAAAAAGTAATATAAGACCGACGAAAATCAAAACACCAGCGAGAATCCATCGACCGAAACGACTCCAGGCGGAATTACATCTGTAATAACTGTGATTGGAGTTAGTTTTTGATTGAAATGATGAATTTGATGATTCAATGAATCAAAGGAAGGAGTAAACAACGAGAGAATACGAACCCATAACCATTGCGATAACATCTCGCTCTCGAAGTGAGCTCATTCAAATGAAGAGCTTCACGAGTATCAATTGGAAGAACACCCATATTGTTGATCTTTCTTGGTTTCTTTTCTTTCTGAAGTTATTGAATGGTATTGAAATCGAATGTCGTTGTATTATCTTGTATTGTACTGTGTTACAAATCTCAAAAGAAAAACTTATAAAACAATCTTAACAATCCCAAATGAAATTCAAGAAGTCACAAAAAGTGAATCACAAAATCCAACTTTTCCAAGGTTCTTATCCTCCAACAACTGGTACCTCTCTCCAAACCCAGTACCTTAGTTCCATGGCACTCTGCGCAAAAAGCATGGCATCCAACCTTTTCTTGGTTAATAGTGTGGGATAGTGTGTGGATCTACAATCTGCCGAGCCTATCTAGTATTTTCTTTATTCAAACTTCACTCTTTCACTCCTCCCTGGTTACGAGCTCGGAGCTTTGGATGCGGGTTTTTACATCAATATGTGCTTGGGTACCTAGGTAGATAATATGATATGGACGCGTAGTATTTTGGCGCAGTGATTTTGCTCTCATCAAATTTTCCATCAATTCCGTAGATTCCATAGGTAAATTCCACCACACGAAGCACACAAGACATCCCTCTCACCAAATTCCCAAACGGATATTCGGATTCATCACATGATTCACATCCATCTTCCAAACTCGGCGCAGCAACCCCCAAGCTTCCCCATCCATCATCTCATTGGTGCATGCATCCATCTCCAGACTCCAGACTTCTTGATTGCGTATTCGTACCTACTACTACTTCGTACATCCATGCCCAGGTGCTTCGCCTTTCTTGCACAGCTGAAAACAGCTTGGATGAAGGATTCTAAGCCACAATCACATTGTATGGATACCTCCAGCTACCTAGAGTAGACTAGGTAATCACAATACAATTGGAACCTGAAAGCACTGACATCATGATGGACTTCTGTACCCCGGGTTAAATACCTAGTAGCTAGATTGATGTCGATCACATGTTTATGGGGTTGCAATGAATTTAAGCTTAAGCTTTTGTTTTTGTTTTTGCTTTTGGGTCTGTATTCAATTGAGCAGGTTAAATGTACGATAAAGTCTCATTCGATAGGAAAGGTAGGTACTCTACGATAATGTAATTCCAAATTCAATAGTCTCACGTGATTGCTGAAAACATGTTGCTAGATTCCTCAATCATGATATTAGAATACCAACCCAGGTTTGAAATACCCGTGGACCTACGATACTCGAATATAATTACCATAGAGAGGTTCTCTCCATCAATCTCTCAACATTTCTCATCCACCATCCACAATTACCATTTCAACACACCTAACCACACATCACATTTCCAATCTATGACATCACCCCACCACCAACTCGTACACCAACTTACCACCTTAGTCATACCACCCCCCAAAATCTTAGTCACAACTCACGTGCCCATCCCCAGAATAAAATCCTTTTGTTGCACATCTAATTTTTGTCCCCAACATTCAACCCATCCATTATCCATCCAGACACCAACCTCAAATCGTTGAAATAGAAGGAAGGCAACATTTACGAAACTGGGAATAAGAAACATTTCCAGATTTTATTCCCGGAGTTTTTGAGATGGTGTTTGGAAAATCGTGTACTGGACTGGAGACTGGTTGGTATGGATGGATGGATTGGCTAATAGCTTTTTGAATCCCGTGACTTGTTTTCGTGCCTGCTTCGTTTTTTGTTCGCGATGGATTTGTGTATGTATGTATGCTGGTTGTAATCTTATTTGATGATATAATTACTTATCACGTTATTTAGGTATCTATTCTATCTACCGACACCTTTGTTGATTTGGTGAACTGATCCATGGATACTTTTGACATTCATACTTCTTCATTGCGTTCTCATACGCTCCAAGTGGTAAGAGCCTGCAAGCAAGTTAATTACCTCACGTTATCTTTTCTACAACAACAGATATATATCATCATTTCACAATCCAATTGTGGATCGCATCTTCATATCATACACAGCTGTATCTAGGTTCAAGTGTTTTCAATAATATCCTAACGCTTCAGTATTGAACCCGACGATATCTTTCGCAATAAAAACACTACAACTGCCATCGCAGTAGTCACTGCATGATTCCCAATTTTCACCCCATCAGATCTACACTAAGTACTTCTCCATCCAACCAGTCTCCCAACTTCCATCATCACATTACATGTCTAATAAAGCAACATGATCATTTTCATACGCTACCCCCATCTGGACGCAACTGATTACCCGCATGGCCATATCCAAGGTCATAGGATAAATTTACAGTGTACCCATCTATTTACGGGATCTATACTGAGCTATGGGCAGTACTCTCTCCTGAATTGATATCCGAGAGGAGTGGAGATTATACATATCCTTGGGGAAGATTTGGTAGTCTTCCTGGAGGAATCGAATCTTCGATTGTGGGAGAAGCTGGGATTTCAGCTAGGTTTGTGGAAAGGTGTGGGAGAGAGACGGAGATTTTTTTTGTAGATTGATGGATTGTATTTGTGATGATTTATCAGAGAGACTTTGGAATTCATGAACGTCTTCTCTAATTCCTGGCTGTATCTTTTGAAAAATGTTGTGCGATATTGTTCATCCAAGGGAAAACACTCAGAGTTGCTTACTATGTTTTCGATCTTCGGGGCGACTTCAATCGTGATAAGAAACATAGAGAGCGGCTGTACGAATACTGCTTTGATTTTTCGGAAATGATCCTTCAGTTCTTCGATATCGGCATGGACCGCGTCTGATAGCATCAAAAACAGTTGTAGAAGTACTGTTCATGATCTCCGGGAGCAACATTCTAGACTTCCATTCTCGATAAAGGTGCTTTTTGAGATGATTAAAAGCGGGGTTATTGAAATCGATTGTGGGAAGTCTCTTCACTTTCGCGGATATGAGTTTCACAATCCTTTAAATATGTTGTGCAATAAGCGATCGATCATTTTTTCTTTAGGTTTCTTCTTAGGAGGGGGTTTCGGGCTACCGAGCCGGTCTTTCGGAGGCGCATTTCCAGTATTTTGACGTTGGTTCAGAAATTTGGATCCAGGCATGTACTTCGAAGGAACAGAATTTTCGGAATTCTCTGATTCAACTCCATTACTTTCTTTGGTGACCACATTTTTCGTGGAGCGCTGTGACTGGACTTGTGAGGAGGAAGATGCTACTTCGGGTCCTTCCAAAGCACTTTCTACTAATCCAAGAAAAGACCCGTGAGAATCTTCATCATATTGTGTTTCTTCGAGTAGTGAAAACTTTGGTACGATCTCCTTGGGTTCTTTAGGTGGTATCTTCTCAAGTGGCGATTCGGATCGATTCCAAAACTTGCGTAGGTTTATAGCAAGGTCGAGTTCATTCTCTTCCGCAAGTCTATCGATATCCTGTTCCGTAATTAACATTCCCTTCAAAGCTTTTGCGAAATCATTTGACAAGTCGTTGTCTACAACGTATTTACCGTTGGCCAAATCGTTAAAAGAAGTATTCTCTAGCTGTCGCAATGCCTTGTTGAAACGCATGAGGGTCTGTCCCGCAACGCCCTCTACGCATCTCAGTTTGTCTGTGCTCCGCACATCGAATAGAAGCCACTTATCTACCTCGACTTGATCTGCATTATCTGCACTTCGATTCAGCGTCCCACCAAACAAAGATACCATAAAAGGTGTTACAGCAGTTGTACGTTGCATAACAAGTTTTTTATTGCTTAGGAGAGTAAGCTTATCAAAAGACAACAACTGGGCATTGCCTTTTGATGACGATGTAATTCCTTCAACTTTCAAGCTAGATCGCTTCCTAGGATGATTGATAGAAGAAGGGTGTATGTCAATGAGTACTTTTTCGTTGGCGACAATTTGATATTTGGTTTCGTGATTATTCCATGTACCGACGTGTGGATGCAAGCCCTGTACAAGAAGTGCTCTGATTAATTCATCCTGATCTGAGTTCTCATTCAGTATCTCTCCGCCATACTTTTCACCAAGTCCGGCCACGCCTTGCGTCTCTTGGTTTAGCACCAAACCATTTCTTCGAAGCGCTTGTTGGATTAAACCAATGTTTCGCTTCACTGTGTCATAATTTGCCACACTAAGAAATTTCTGGTACGCAAACGACGTCATGACTTCGCGACCATCAGCTTCTTCCAAGTCGCGAAGCGCACGGAAAGCATTGAGCATGGCGACATGATCGCTTTTGGATGTCCTTGCAAATCCTCTCATTGCCGCATCAGATTCTTCTTCCATATCCAGTGGACGCACATGCAGTATTATGTTATCGAAGGCTGCTAAAATTATCATAGAATCTAGACAACGAAAAATGATTCCGAGAATTACCATTTTGCCCAGTGTAGGCCTCAGCGGGAGCATTCCAATTATTCGGCCCAAAGGAGTAATTTTTTCCGTGGAGGTGAGTGCTCCAAGTGTTTGAAGACCCTCAATACTTGACTGTATTGCTTTCGGTGATGGAGGCTCTGGAGCGCTCGCCAAGAAATCTTGAATAGGTTCATTGTAGCCCAGGATCTTGACTGCGAGACAGGTGCTTTGCAAATCGACGCGACTCATTCCCGGGCGGGGAGTCATTCTAAGGGAATCATAGCGACGTTTTCTGCCTCATGTCAATATTAAAAATCGAAGGGAGTTGAAGGGATGACTCACGAAAAGAGACCATAATAACTGCCGTTTTGAACACGGCCTGCTCGACCTGATCTCTGCTTGACACTTGACTTGCTAACCCATTTACAAGACAATGACCAAATTCGTAACATTTGATGAAAATTGTCTTCCTTGTGTTTTCCAGTATCTACAACATATTGAACATCGTCGATAGTGATTGAGGTTTCAGCAACATTTGTGGCTAAAATGATCTTTCGACAACCTGGAGAGACTGGCTCGAAGACCTCCTGATGTTTATCTGCAGTAGAGGAGTGTAATTTTAAAATCTTGAACTTATTTTCGTCATTGAAGTTTACATTAAAAACATCTTGCGTCTTGAGATTGTTTTCAATGGTATTGATGCTTCGTATGCCTGGCAGGAAAAGTAGTATTGCGCCATCTTTTGTAGTACTCGCTATATGCGCAATCATAATAGCAGCCAGATCATCGGGCACTTGTCCCTCCAAAGTGTCCATTGCTATCTGCTTCTGTAGGCTATCGGGATCATCGTCATGGCTGTCCCATTTGATAACCGATTTAGGCTGTTCATTCTCAACGTCCATTACCAAATCTGTCTTCTTAACTCGTTTTTCACTTTGTAAATAAGCTTTATTCTTGTTAGAATCAAGGATTTCCCAGATATTATGACTTGCTGGATATGTTTTTCTGAAAGTATCCATTACATTTTCGAGAAAATATTTTCTGACAGGGAAAGCTCGACCCTCCACATGCAGAACTGGACAGGAAATCTCCCGGGTTTCAGTTTCGAAAGCGAAGTATTCCTGAAGCATCTCGGCGTCGGCGGTGGCACTCATCAAGCACACTTTTGGCGTAGGCTTTCCAGCTTCAATTCTCTCTTTCACAAGCTTTTTAACCATTGTTAAGAGAAAGTCGATGTCCAGATCTCTCTCATGTACTTCATCAATAATGAGATGTGATGTTTCGTGAAGGATAGCATCAGGATGGTGTATTAATTGTTGTAAGATGGTTCCTGTGGTACAATACGTGATGCTTCCGCGAGGATTGGAAAGTTCAGTATCAAAACCTATCTTGTAACCGACTTGATCACCAAGCATTTGACCACGTTCTTCAGCAACACGTTCTGCCACTGATTTTGCGGCTATCCTTCGCGGTTGCGTACAAATGACTCTGCACTCTCCACCACGTTTTGTACGAATGTACTCATCCAGAATGATTTGAGACAACTGAGTCGTCTTTCCACTTCCAGTTTTCCCGATTAAAATAGAAAATTGATTGTTTTCAATATGATTCAATACTTCAGACGAATTCTGGTTTAAAGGTAGTAACTTCGAGTATTTCTGTTTGTGCGAACGTTGACGATACCACTTCAATAAATCGCTGGAACGTTGTTTGACTTTCCAGTCATAAGAATACTCAAAGCGAATTTTGTCGTAATCCGCCCAGGGAGAAACATCATCCGTCAAGGGAGAAACATCATGGTCCTTACATTCACCAGTAGGTAGTGTTGATAAGTTTAGCTTTGTGGTGGTATCTACCGTGCGTTGCATTAAATCCAGACTAGTCTGGTGTAGTTCAAGCTTCATAGGAAGAGCTTTGCCCACGTACTTGCCAGTTCTTACATCCAGCTTTTTCGAATAATCCAAGAGCAATTGAGGCCTTTGCTTGACTAGTGTGACTGCAGCAACTAGGAGAGTCAACGTTTCAAGGTCACGAGAACTGCTTCTCTCAATAGCCGGACCAAGCGTTTCAAGAGCAGCAGTGTTAGGATCCCTGGTAAAGGCTTGACTTTTGAAAGTGTTGACCTTGTGTTCCAACTGAATGACTAATTTGTCATTGTAGTCATTATAGAAATCCACAAAATTTCTCACGTTTGCAGTGGTTAAAACGATTTCTCCTTCTGATGAATCGGAAGGTATGCTATTTGCAATATGGTGCTTCTCAGCTTGCACTTTGAACTCTGTACATGCCATAGCCTCCGTGAGTGGGAGATCTAAACTGGTTGCGGTTGCATGAATACTATGTTCAGGCAAAGATATAGTGACAGTAAAACTTTTTTTTGGAGGTTTAGGCTTTTTTGATGTAACGGGGTTACTCGGGTGTTCTTTTTTAGAAACTTCCTGGGAAGTGACAGTGTATTCCGGGACATGTAGATATTTTGCTGCATAATTAAACACTTCACGCGTGACAAGTCTGAGCTCCTTCGGCTTTTTTGCCGACTTTAATTTCGGTTCTCCTGGTGGTTCTTCTTTGGGTGTTAACGGAGCATCCGGAATTGATTTTGTCTCTGTTGATACAATTGGCATTATTGATTGAGCCTCTGTGGATTGAACATTATGACCAGGGTTCTCTTGTTCTGTTTTGGGTGTTGATAGGGTATCCGGAACTGATTTTGTCTCTGTTAGTGCGATTGGCACTGCTGGCTGAGTATCTTTGGATTGAACATTGTGACCGGGTTTCTCTTGTTCTTTTTTGGCAACCCATTTTGGTGAGATGAGGAGCAACAAGTCATCCAATAGTTGCTTTTCTTCAAGAATGGGGAAAAGTTGCAAAAGTGCAGCTCCTCTGGCTAAGCACTAGTGCTGTTGGTTAGTAAAGCTTTCCAATTTACTTGAAGGACTGACCCTACCTTTTTGGTAGATAACGCAACGATGTTCAAAGGAGCTTCACCAGGAAGTTTGAAAGTCAGGCTGCATATAGACAGGATTCTATGGGAATCCGTTGCAAAATAACTCCGGTTTTCATATTCAAAGGTACAGTGTGCTTTACTCAATATAGACGCGTCCAGACGAGCGAGGAAAACAATCTTACTGAAACCACAAAGACCTTGTTCAATAACAATTTTAGCTAATCTCGGGCGTTGAATGAAGATTTTGTCTATAGCGTCCCAATCAATTGTATCTTTTGAAAGGACAGCTGTATGCGGAAGAGGCAATCCAGGTTCGCTTCGCGAATTGGATTCTGGAGGAATATCAAATAACCAATGACTCGTGGGAGACTGAGTTATCTTTTCAGAAACAAGTTCATTCCACTGTCTTTGTAGACGAAGTTCATTGCGGCGGAGTGGCTTGGGTATCCGGCCGTGGGGAGTCTATAAACTTCAATAATTGAACATCAGATGTGGAATGAGATTCTACAAACCAGTCTCCTTAACATTGAGTAGGCGATTCAAGCAATAACTTCAAAGCTTTGCTTCTTGGCAATCAGTCGGTGAGATCATTAAGAAATTATGTTTGAACAAATTGCATGTATTGAATTTGCTGACGTTCGAGTCGAAGATTTAGGCGGTGTATTTGGCAGAATTCTCGATGAGGTGTGATTATATCATGTGATTAACTTTACATGTGACAAAACTTCATCTTCAACCAGCTCCACCTTTTGTGGTAGGCAGCCACCTGAAAAGGGGAAGCTTCGCGAGGTGGTATCCATAGTTCATCTAGTATATAAATAAATAAAGTCCCATTAGTTTGATTCGTTATTATGATACCAACTCAATAACATACCTACCTACTCATTCCTTTTCAATTCATGAATCGCGTCTCCAAAATTTCCTCCGAATTCGAATATCATGTCTTATCAAATGCAAACACTCCCTGGTATAACCTTGCTTGGTCAGCCCGAGAAGAATGGAGTTTATGATCAACAGGAGATTGTAACACTTATAACACAATACTACGAACTTCTCGCCAAAATGCGTTACTTTCCCGCCTCCTACATCAAATATGCACCCCACGATCCTCCCATCGACGTGGAACTCGCAAAGAGCTTTGATCTTGAACCACAAGTCATTGAGCTTCTTCAAGCCCTGCCATACATAGAGGGGTATAACAATGAAGATGAGTTTATCCTTGGTGGAAGTTTTGCTGATATGAGGGATCTGGAAGTGTTAACGCAGAGCCGAGATCCGGGATTTGTTTGTCCTGAAGGCGGATTTGATGATGTAGACGGGGCGTATATGAGACCTTGGGAAATCTGTATCAATGCATGTGGAAATCATGGAACGATGATGTTTCTTGACATAAGAAATGGTGAGAGCTTTAAATTGTCATCATTATATCTCACGTCGTTGAGACTTTCGTTGTACTACCCCTCAGATCCTTTCTCGACTTGACCTGAATACCTACATCTATGTTTCACTTCCACTCTCCTAAATATCAATCTAGATCCGTTGATTTATACTAACTCAAACCAGGTCACATAACAATGGAAGGTCAAGATTCCGGTGAAAGCGAAGATCCCGGTGTACATAACTTCCCTGAGGGTCTCCGAAGTCGTAATCGCAATTCCCATGACCATCTTCCCAGTCGCCACGCTAGAGAGGTCTTCGAAGATTTTACAAACAGACTTTTAAAACTTCAATGGATTCCAAGCTCTGAGGACCGTAAAATGTTATCAGAATGGGATGAAGATGTATTCACTTATTTCTGTAAAGTCATCTCAACCCCAAATATTGCGTACTCGACATCGATAGCAACCTTTTCAATATTTCTTTCTATCTTAAGATTAACCTGTATTATTTTCTAACATCATCCAGTACGAAGATCTAAGACTCCTCTTCCGAACATACGGCTGGCCCCATAACTTCAACCACACCAGCTTCGACTCTGCCTACTCCCGCTGGCGCGAGTTTTCGACCACAAAGAACCACGCGTGTGACTCTGCCTCTGATATCATAAATCAAAAACTCAATCTGGATAGCGCTACAGAATCTCTAAATTCTCATTCTAGGCGTTTGCGAATGGGGGTGTGGGATCGTGATCCTGACAAAGAGCCCGAAGACGTGATAATGTTAAACATTATTCTTGAGAAGAAAAGGAAATTAGTCAATGATTTAAATGAAATGCTAAAAAGGGCTATTGCTGATCATGGAGACTGGAAAGGAGAAAGGGCAGAAATGGTTAAAGCGTGGAAGAAACATTTTGAGAATGACATTGAGTGGGAAGAGAGGAATTTAGAATGGTGGAGAGGAGATGGGAAGGCGCATTGTAAGAAAGAGGAAATTGAAGAGACTAGGGAGAAGATACGTGTCTTGAAGGAGAGGTTGGCGAATGTAGGAGAACAGCCAATCTCAGTAGAGGAAGTGATTAATAAGTCTTTGTAGAAATGTGGGTAGTGGTGTGTGGAAAATACTTACAGGTTTCCAGAACAAAATACGATAATGAACCAATCGAGCCTTTGAATGTATCTGATGGTCTCATTTCATTTCAAAGATTCAGCATTTTGAAACTTGAAAGAGATGTGAAAGTGCACACAATGGGTTCAATATCGCAACCAATTCTCTTCATAAATCTTCCTCGCAAACACACCCTCACAGCTTCTTTTCTTTCAGCCCATGTTTTCATCAGATTCACTATCACCCACTCAACAAACTAGAACTTTTACTGTAAGAACAATCAATTAGATCAAACATTAAAATATTTCAAGCATTTAATCCCACTAGAATGAGAGTTTGCAGGATTCAATCTCATAAAATATCCTCACTGAACTTTCGCGACGGTCACCTGAACATCACTCACCAACATTCAATATCTATTTGATATCGCAATGTCTCTAGCCTATTTCATGGACACACCTCCAGATAGACTCACTACCAAAGTACCACCTCCACTCCCCTCCACTGCACTGCCCATTAAAGACTAACATCTTTGCAGCGCACATCTGGTGCCAAATACTACAATTTCGGCGGTTTGTTCTACATTTCTTTTTAGCACTTTCCGCAACTAGCTGTCTCCAATAAATTCCACAACTGACCATTTCTAAGAAAACGGTCATTACTACTACCTCAATCCCGATGGCTCACAATTCTACACCCACGGATCCTGGAAACTGTTTATCAACAGCAGTGGACACAGACGTTGGATACCTCTACAACCAGAATTCGCCTGCAACCCCGACAAAATGAACGCGCGATGCATTTATAGCTTCAGGTGCAAGTTGATTTACCGCGAGACGCGCGAGTGTTTGTGTGATATGGCGGTTCCTAGTCTCGGTGCTCTGATTATGCGATATAATCAAGAGGTAGTGCAGGAGTATCTAGATAACTTAGGAAGTCGGGTTAATAGCGTTATTCGACGTCAGCATTGGGAACGAGGGAAGAAGGCTGCATGGGATAAACTGATTTATCTCGAGTGGAAAACGGGGCTGTGGTATGGAGATTGGTTGGAGAAGGAACGGAAGAGGTTGCAGGATACAGGACACTATTGGGAATATAGTGTTTGGGTAGATGATGAATTGAAGCGTGTGATGAAGGATAACGATGTAGAGGACGTTAAGGAAGAGAGCAATGAAGAGGCGGCAATCAACGAGGACAATGTCAAGATAGAAGATGTCGAGGACGATATCATCAAGGAGGAACCCTTCTGAGGAGATGTTCGTCAAAGAGGAGTTCTCCGGCAAGGTATTCATCAAAACGGAATGTTGAGCTAGGGAAGTTGGACTAAGAACGTTAGAAGCCTTGTTTGTTGCGGAGATTGAGGGGTTTCTTTCAAATGTCAATGCAAGAGTTGATCTTTATGCAATTACCATCTTCCGTATGATACGTTGTAGTGAATATTAAATAACACAATGATAATGATGTCCAAATGTACCCTGCGGTAATTATGAAAATGATTTGTAAGAAAACAAGTATCTGGCTTTAGAAACAATCTTAGAGCGCTCATATTTTATTTATTAAACAAAAGGATAAAATAGGGAAGTATATATTAAAAAGAATAGAGAACGTCTGAATGAAAGTGAGGAGACAACACTTTGGGCTTAAATCCCACATATGAAGTACTCCCATCCAAAACCACAAACCCACCACTCTAGCAAAACTCCCCCTTCTCATCTGCAACACAAACCACATCCAGCTCTCTTGCCTTTCTAACTCTCTCCTCACTCAGTACATACCTCTGCGGCAAATCAATAGTCTCCATCTTATCACCCATCATCAAGCCAACAGCTGCCTTGGCACTCAATCTCGCCGTCGGCATTCCATGTCCTGTAAAGCCAGCACAAACATATAATCCTTCTCCCCCTCCCAATTTCTCACTTACGTTTCCGACCCACGGCCAATTATCTCTACTAAATCCCATAATCCCACTCCATTCATAAGAAGCCTCAAGTTCTTCTTCATTATTATGAAGGTTGAGTGTACGTGGTAGCTCTCGACGGAGATAATTCGCAGCAGGAGGATCGATAGATGAATCATCGAAGACGCCCAAACCAGCTTTTGCAGCAAATTGGCGACCCCCGCCAAACATCAATTCTCCTCCCGACTCTTGTTGTGATGAGGATGTGGAAGAAAAAGGTCGTTGAACGAGATAATCATCTCGGTTTATATTTTGACCGAAATGACCCATAATACTATAAGAGTATTCTAAGGGTTTATTTGAGGATTCTATGGCCGGGGACATGGTAGATGGAGGGAGAAGTGAAGACATTTCGCCGCGGACAGGAGTAATAAGATCAGAGAACAAGGGAAGAAGATGCGATGTATAGGCATTCGTTGCCAACAAAACTTTCGGAGCTGAAAGTTGGCCGCGAGAAGTGTGAATTATCCATTCCGAGGAAGACTTTTGAAGCCCAGTTACGGGTGTTGAAGTTTGAAGATTGAATTTTGGGGGGCTTGAGGATTTGTTCTTAGAGATCAAATCTTCTAGAACCCATGAAACCAATTTATACGGCCAGAGCGAGGCTGCTTTGGAGGTTGCAATAGCGCCAGCTGCTGTGGGAATTCGAAGGTCCGATAATGAGGGATTAGTAGAATCTTTGGTGATAATGGTGACTAATTTGCCTAGTGTTGGATCCAAATACTTGAGGGCTTCCGCAGCTTTGACGGCTGCCTCGAACTGATCTTCTGACATATAAGAGTGACAACTGGATAATGATTTCCAATCACATTGAACATCATTTTGCGCCACAAAAGATTTGATATCCTCATAATTTCTCACTTCAAAAGCTCCGACTTCTGGAGGTGAAGCATAAACAAGAGGCTGGCAATGACCTCCATTCTAAATTTTGTAGTCTCGTTAGTGATCAGGCACTAATAGATTGTAGACTCGAGACGACGCTTAACTCACTCTACCAGTCGCTCCCCAACAAGCTTCTCTCGCCTCTAACATCACCACATTGAGATCCTTTCCATTGTCATGCTCTCTTAACCAATGTGCAGCTGAAGTCCCTGCAATACCACTCCCAACAATAACAACATCAGCGTTCGTGGGAAGATTTTCCGTAGTTCTATGACCCAATAAGATCTTCGAAGGCTCACTATGCCAGAAAGATTTGGTGGGATTAGGAGATGGAAGTCCTGCTTGACCTGGTATTTCATCTGTAGCCGTCATGATTAAATATCACCGAGTGAATGGAGAGTAATTGAAATGCTGGAGAGCAACAAACTGAGAAGTGAAAAGCTTGTTGAGTTGTACTCCCATGCCGTGCCCCCACCATCACGTACCATCACGTGCATATCACTATCTCCCCCACCTTCTGGATTGGTGGGCCTACAGGTTGTACATGCCCAGTATAGCAAGTCGCGATATGAGGTTAACACCAAGAACCTAGATACTGTGTAGCTGACAATCTATACTAATATGTGTGAGGTTGAGCGAAGGCCAGCTCTCCAAGCTAGTACTAGTGCAACACGTGTTTCCAACAAACATAACCATTTCATCCGCTCGTCCTCGAAGAGATAGCAAAGTCAAAAGCTAAACTTCCGCATTCCTCTCAAACAATCAGATTAACACAATCTCAACTTCCCCTCTCAAAAAGCTAATGAACCCGAAATATCCGCATTCTCGTCAGTTTTCTCCCGAGCCGAATCCGGTTTGGTACCTCATTTAACTTTTCTCGGTTCATGCTGCTAGCGTGCATATTTACTTATTATTAACATCAAGCCACTATCAAGCCATTATCAGAAAAAGTATCGTAATAAGATTTGGAATCTAGATTTGAGTTTGGATTCTTCGCATGCATGGTTCGTATTCCTTACTTCCCCGGATTTGCAGATAGTGAGTTTGTGGGGTGAGACTTGGGGTAGTTGTTGACGGGAACATTTTCGGGATGGGTTGGGGTAAATGAGGGCTTTTATGTAGCTATGTAGATATGCTATGTAACGATTCTCTATGTGGTAAACAGAAAGAAGAAAAATCAGAGATTGTTCATCATGATTGGCCGTTCATTCACAGTACGAGTCGAGGGGAAAAAAGTTACTTGATAGCTCTTTCGTTCATGGCCTGCCTAAAAAGAACCTCTATAGAGTATACATTGCCCTTTCCCCCTATGGATCCAAATACCATCCTATCCCATCCCATGCTATTCCCTTACCCCTCCAAATGTACAGACGCTCATGCCAGGAGCAAGAAAGCAAACCCAGAGAAGCAAAGCCCAATAACTAAAAATATCATATCCCGTCGAAGTATCCAAAGAATGAATTTAGTGAATCATTATAATAACCTCCCATTTTTAAAACTCCTGATGAAAATCCCAATGCACGCGTGAGCGATGTCCTATCATAGTGCTGTAACTATTGTTGTTGTTGCCGAGATAGAGATGGTGTGTAGAATACCGTAAAAGAATGAATCAACTCTTTTTGATGAACGGGCTACTGTCTGCCATCTGCGATATCCTTCCTTCCATGAATGAACCTAAAGAAAATATTGCTTCATGTATGATGAAACCAAAGCCGAAATTCGAAACACGACGAAATGAAAATGCGGTGGGTAATCACGGACGAAGAAGATACATCGAATGTATATATCTTCCTCCTCACATGATTACATGCGCGCTAACGTACACCCCTGTGATGAAACCACCAATGTAAATTTGCTAGTGAAGAGAGGATCTATCTTCGACAAGCGGGGCTCCAACTTTCGGCGGGAAAGTTGATTGGGGATGGTGGAGGTGGGGCAGGTGGAGCATATTCGTTCTCGTGGAAGATATATGGAGTCTTGTTCTTAGAATTCGCTTTGACGGTGTCAAGATAGAAACTGACGTCTTCGCCAAAGGTGGAAGAGGTAAGAAGTGGAGATAGACGGCGACGGGGAACAGGTACGGCCATTGTAGTGGTTGATGATTGAGAAGGCATGTTTAATGATGTGAGTGATTAACTTGTATTAATATTCGAATGAGGAAGTATTGGTGTATGATGAGGTCTGATGTAGAGGACGCTTGAGTGTGAAGGTCGAAAGGTTGATATGAAGGTCGGCTTGAATATGGTGAGGAGGTTGAGAGACCTTGGACCTTTATGTATTATTTTCTGGTGCTACCCCAGATTGTACGTGGGCTAACAAGTTTGGGGTCAGTTCGGGGTTGGTTGGAGATAATGGGGGAAGATAGCTACTACGCACCAGAAAGCGTTGGTTCTGTATGGGGAAATGGGGAAGGTTGATAAGCGCTTACGATCCTTCTGGAAGGATGGATTGATTGTTGGTAAGTTGGTGATACACTTGACGCTTTTCCAACGAACAGATGCTTTGCTCAGGCGCACTCGCAGATATGAGGCAAAAATAGTGTAATGATTATGAGGCTGAGTGAGATGGGAGAGCGGACAACAAATCTTGAAGAGGACGATATTGTAATGAAGAATTAAACAAAAACTAAACGACGGAGAGGGGGGCAAACGAATGAATTTATCTTGCATCCACTGCTGCTATACAGTACTATACGAAACCTTGATAAATTAATCATATCATATCCGGTATGATTCCCCCTTACCAAATACATAGCACAGATGAAAAAAAATATGTTGACAAAGAAACAGCTAATTGCAAAGCCGAAAAAGAAAAGGAAAATAATTCAAGACAATCATCCCTTCGGGAAGCCGCCTCACAATTTAGTATTTACCCCAGTCTCATCTAAGAATGTTCGAATTTAGTAAACCAGGGTTATGGATCGTTTCGGTCGTGATGCTGTGCGTGCGTTACTGGCTTTGATCAATGACCGGTCTGAGGCATCCTACGATGCGAGGGTTTCTGCAACAAATCCAAGGAAATTGAATAGTATAAACAATAAAGCAAAAACAATTGCAATTGTACCAACAAGAAATAGAATAAAAATTGCAAATCTCCGGCGTACTACCATAATAATAGCATACTAGTATTACTAGCATAGCATATAGCCTTTCGAACCCGAGTGCCCCGGACACTCCTAAATTGTTGAATTGTCACTCTGTTACAGGGAAGCTCCTAGAGATACTACTGCATTCGTTGTATTTGCATCTCGTTGATTCTCATCCAATCTAAAACATAATCCCCAGTTTCTTGGAATATGTACTATATCGGATTATGTTGTGTTGTTGAGCTGTTTCCAGCCTTACTACTGTAACAGTTTTGTATCCTTGCATATGTGAGAAAGCATGGAATTTCGTGGGGTTGACAGGCATA